AAGTTGTTTGGTAACTTCAAAAGATCTTTTAAATTGGCTTTTTGAGAAGAAGAAAAAGGAGGTGGTTAAGAGATCACGAATATGTGACATTTACCAACTTTTGGCTTTTTTCCCTTTACACCCTCAAAAGTTTGTACAAACACATTTTAAAACTTTCTTTTGGGAAAAGACATAAATCAAAAAGTACTTTTCTAAAAAGGACTTTTTAGTTTAAAAAGCTATCCCAAACACCCCCTTAGATGCTCAGTGTATCTTGCCCAAAGGGAAGAGCTAGCCCATAAAAACCTAACATACCCAGCCTTAAGGCCTAAAACAACTCCCAAACGTCTAAAGAGTTTAGTATGACATAGAAAAGTTAGCATAAAAGGGCCATCGCAAGCCATAAAGAATGAAACAAGAAAAATAAGCCTGACACATGCTCGAGAAAAACGTTTAGAGAGCCTAAAAGATGCAGCACATCACAAAGGCAAAATAACCATCACAAGATGCATACAGAAGTGCCATACACTGTCAAAAGATGAAACAGTCATTACAACCAAGGCCATGAGCGGCCGCCAACAGTTCATGCCATGTAAGGCTACATACAAAAAAAACACAAACAAACAACAAACAAAAGAGTAAAACAACAAGCTTCACAAACTTTTTCAAACCCCGAAGGGCAGCACATTGTACAATGTACCCTACGAACCAATGACATCATCGCAACCACCAACTCTTATATCACCGCCACCACTAGCCTCTGCACGTCTACCGCCAGCTCCCATACCACCACCACCAGCTCTTGCACCGCCACCACCAGCCGCCTCAATTAGAATAACATCTACAAGCTCACCTGCATCATCCAACACACAAAGTTGTTGTATCCCGACCATATCTAGATAACCCAAGCCTAGAATGGCAGCATGGTCCATCGTGGCCAAGCCAAGAAATGCATCGTTAAGACTGGTAGTATGGATGGATCAAGAATCACTACCCTCAATATCATGACCCCCAAAGTCTATCGTTGCTTTCAACCCAACGCGGCCAGACTCCTTGCCGGAAACAAAGGCAACATGTCGAATTCGGCTGATCCTACTGGTAAACTATGGGTGCTCGATCAATTTGTCCATAATACGCAAGACTCCCATCTGCAGGAGCCAATCCCGGTCACGGCGCAAAGCCTCCACTTTAGCTCGAATTTTCTCGATGAGCTTGTCGTGATCAGCAACGTCTCGCTCAAGGCTCTCATTTTGAATCATTAAACCCTCACTGGCTTGCACCAAAGAATCCACCTTAGCTTCCAGCAAGGCCCGGACCTCTTCGGCAGTAGCTTTCTCCAAGGCCAAAAGATCAAACTTTTGATCGAAACCATAGGCATCCCTCTCAAGCTCAAAGATCCAGTGCTTGTACTCAGTTTCTTGAACAACACATCTAACATGGATAACCTCCATCCCATGCAGAAGTTGGACAAAAATGGAGTCGGCGACCAAGTAGAACATGGCATGTGCAGCGGCTTATGACATTTTATGGGACAGTGCAGTGCTACCCATCACATCCATATCAGTGATGGCAACTAGTGGAAAAGCGTGGCGTCCAAACTCTATGGGATTGGTACACACAGACATCCGAGAATCATTCTGCAGATTCCAAGCAGGAACGAAGGGACCAGCACCAGGGTCGGTCGGGCCCTAAGAAACCTCCTTTGGAGGAGTGTGATGACGCGAAGCCCCAACGAGGCTCCCAGAAGAATTAGGGTTGGGATTAGATTGCGAAGTAAACTGAACCGGAACAATGGGTTACGTAAAAGCCCCCTAATCCCTCTCATGTTGTTGTATGTCATCATCAGGGATCACCACGATCACCTCTAGAGTAAATGAAATCAAGCTCAGCAGACGGATAAAATTCCGCCTCGACTGAACACGCCTCCCGATTTTGAAAACATCAGAAGAGGCCTCCCCCATCGCCAAGATGGCTTTCCTCTTGGCCATGGTCCGTCGGACATCCGAAATAATACCATCCTTGCTATCCTCCACCACCTCAGTGCGGCCAAGGTCAACGGACGGAGACGAGGCAACTATAGTAATGGACTGAGCAATCAAAGGCCGCTCACCGACAGTCGTCGAAGAACCTTACAATGCCAGCGTAACTGGAACAGGATTCAGGGTGAGCCGGTCAACACGGCACGACAAAGGGAGAGCCTCGAAAAGATTGATCTCACGATGCTCCAATTTCCCTCGGTACCGTTTCCGCAAGACATCATCAATGGACAAGGGGGACTCAACACCTGGCAGAGAAGAGTTCATAAGCAAAGCAACAACCACTCTCCTAAATCAAAATTTTCTTGTAAATATAAAAAGGGGGCAGAGAGAGAATAGGAGGAGAACAGAAAAAAGTGACTTACCATCAATGGCAGTGTAAAAGATGGGCATCTTCCCCCAGTGCCTCCAGGAAGGGCTCATCCCGACACCAGCAAGCAGAACCTCTGAGTATTCCTCAGGAACGACATGGATGGTCTTCAGAAGATCAGCGGTAGCCTGGTTATGAGGAAACAATTTTAGAGTAACGTCAGAGATGTTATTTGCCCGATAGTGCCCACGGCCAACTCGATCCTGGTTGACCCTCAACCATTTGTCCTGCCAATTCTTAGGGGTTTTGCCTTTAGGGACCAAGATATGACCACTGTGTCGAGCGAAGAACGTATACTTGTCACCGGTAGCGCTAAACCAGAAAAAGAACTTGAAGACAAAGGAGTCAAAAGGCACACCATTGGCTCGGTAGATCATCTCGAATGCCACCATTTTATTAATAGTGTTCGGGGTAAGCATTTGAATACAACCATTCTTCTAAAGAAGCTCCTTCTAGAAGTTAGTGAGAGGAAGGCGCAGACCGGCGTCTAAAGTCTTCAAATAAACGCTGACTTTACCGGCATGAGGTGAAAGAATCATCGAGCCAGCCGCCAGAAACTCCACACCATCGACCGAGGAGAGAGAATAAGCATCATTGAGAAGTTTGAACTCGGCATCGGAAGGGATGATACCAGATTGAGTCGTCATTAAAGCAGATGGAGGAATGGGGAAAACCTTGAAGGAAAGAAGAAGGAAAGACGGGAGGAAAAGCGTGAGCCGATAAGGAAGATTTTCACCCTTATAAGGAATAAGGAAAGGCGGGATATCCAAAATCCGTGACAAAATGATGTAACTGACTGCCATAATGGGCGGTCACGCCGCCGAAAAAATCGAAGCACCGATTAAATCAAGACTCAACGCGTGTATTGAGCAGTTAAGTCTAGAACATCATAGCTAGTCTAGCAACGCTACGACTACTGGAGTAGGGGACTTAATGACATGCCCTCCAGCATGGGCCAGAAGCTACGGTCAGAAGCGCCAAGAATCCCCTAAAGAAGAACTATGTTCGGGACAGCCAGCCCGATGGTATCATGTGCCCGCGAACGCCCTTTGAGCACGGGGCACCAGCGGAGAAGGTCCGGCCCCGCCATGGGCGCCTTCTACTCTGCAACAAAGCACAACGGCTCCAAACGAAATATGGAATGCTTAGCACATTACCACCTGAACCAATCATTAACTCTAACAGAACAATGAGCACGATTGCCCAATCAGCGTGCCCGATCTTGTCGGGTCTGACTCCCTTGTCTCGTACATAGTGGCAGGAGGTCTTAGTATAAAAGGCCTCCTCCAGTGCCTAGAAGGGTAATCCGTTCTCACTCAATTCACTTCATACAACCCAAGTCCATCTACTGACTTGACCGTCGGAGCGTTTTTCCGGGATCCCCTCCCGGAAAACGGCTGACGGCCTCTCCTTGTTGTGACCTTGCAGGTTCGCCAGAGCAATCGAAACCCTTGAAGAGCATCGTCGGAGGACCAGGTTGCATCATATAATGACTAAAATAAAACACCAAAAAAAGTTGATCAATGACTAATTATAACAGACAATGTCACTACAAATAAAATGAAACTTAGTGGTACATAAAAAATGTCACTAAAAGCCGAAAAAGTGCCACTAAAGACCCCCCTGGCAATCAGCGGCACAAAAACAAAGTGCCACAAAAAACGCTGCAACTAAAGACCATTAGTGGCACTTTTTGGTTGTGCCGATACACCCTAATTAGGTTTTTGTGACGCTTTCCTGTAGGGTTTAGTGGCACTATTTTTATGCCACTATTTAACTGCATAAATAATTATTACTTTCATACTTTTAATGACACTTTTTTAACATAAAAATTTTATATTAATACATTAGATCTTATTTTTATTAAATGGAATAAAAATAATAATAGGATAATTAAGATAAAACAAAAAAAATATCATTACATCAATTCAAACTTATCTCAAAAACAATATTTTCAATACATTTACAACACAACCATCTTAAAAAAAGTTTAATATGTCTAATATTATGCAAGTACTCAAAGCATAATATTATTGAACTAAATAATTGTTCGGAAGAAACACAAATCTTGATTGGCCTTGAACTTTGTATAATTGCTTCTTCCAGGAGCATACATACAAACATGGCCACCTGATAGGAATTTTTTCCTGAAGTGCTGCAATTGAAAGATTCCTCCAAGAAATAACTCAAAATATTAATAAAATAGGAAATAGGAAATATGTTAAATAAAACAACAGATAAATTAGGTTGACTAACTTTTAGATATATGTGAAAAGTATAATAAAAATTACCTTTGCCACTTGAATTGCCATCACCTCTCTCAACCAAAAATTTACATAATTAATTTAGTTTACCCAACTAAAAAGTACTTTTAACAAAAAGAAGCATTGTTAAATAGAGTAGAAAATAATGCTTACAGATTATTTGATTGCACATGAGTAATGATTAAATCACTCTGAGCACCACCCTCCTTAGAACTTTCACCGCCTATAAATAAAGTTTGATATAAGTCATAAGATGATACTTTTTATCATGTGTATGATCTTTGTTATTCTATCGATGCTGCTATTTGGTCGAGTAATTTCAATTTACTCTAAGTTTCATTTCATAAAAAAAAACTAAAATGTTAAACTGTTATGCATAGATTTTATAAAAGAGTATAATTTTACATGAGTCGGTTACTCAAGAATGGAATCAAAATTCTAGGAACATTCATTGCAAGTGGCATAATGTCATTGTACTTTTAGGATTTCATGCTTCTAAGTTCCAAGTAACAACAATTTTAAGGATACCTCATCACAACCAATGAATATGAAATACCAATGCAACACAAGGCTCTACAGTTATCTTGAAGTGTAGTCATCACCTGTATAAAGCATCACTGATTAGAATTGTATCACCACCAAAGGATGTTGAATACACTATATGGTAATATCAATGCCACTATTTCACTTGCACTAGCAGTATTTTTGTTCACCAAAACATGCATTAGAAAATTATTAAGCAAGTTCTTAGGCTCTTGTTTCAACAACCTAAAGAAAATAAATCATAGATGAGTTGACAGTAGAGAGGTAGAGAAAAGATTCAACGTGTTTTTATGGGGGAATAACTCATTTGAGTGTTTCCAAATGCACCAATAACCAATTAGGTTAAACATCAAGACTAAAAACTTACGATAATCAACATTTTACATATGAAATCTAATAATTTCAGAAGAAACTGAGTATTAGAACTAAAATCTAAAACCCAATAACAACAAATTAGACGAAAAACCTGAAAACTAGATAACAAATTACACCTGATAACGTGTATTACATTTTTTAGCTGTGCAGGGAGCAGGGGAGGCGATGAAGGGCAGAGTTGCAGACACAATCACTTCAGGCATTCATCGAGCACTTGTTGTGCGTCTCTAAAACGACAAAATATTTACACTAATATTGAAAAACATTATTGATAGGGAAAACCTATGATCGATTGTGTGAGGATGCTTAGGGGTTAAGTGAGTATCTGATTATGATTCGCGTAGAAAAGTGATTTGAGCGTGATTAGGGAAAATGCAAGAAAACAACTTCCCACTCCTTCATAGATAAAAATTCATTTTTTTACCTGAACTAGAGATACATGGGTACATGTAGAATGCGATGGTAAGTAGTGGAAGCAGTCAGCGGTGGCGAGTTGGCGAGGCGGAGCGACGACAATTTGGAGGCTACATTCATGATCAATAGCGATGTGATGGAGATTAGGGATTTAGCGCATGGGAGGAATAGATAGATCAAAGAGGGGGAAAATATTCGATTAGAAGGAAAAAAGTGAAGCGGGGTTTTTCTAATTTTGTGAAAACATTTCCCGCTTGCAACAAAGGAAAATTGTTTTTCTAATTTTTGGGGTGATTCTTTCAAACATAGTCATTTGTTTTTTAATTTACGTTTTCCGTTTCCAAGAGACTAATAATTAGTAGACTATTAGTGTCATTAGATATAAATTCTAATAAAGTGCCACTATATCTCTATTTTTGTTCATTTTGGTTACTATATCTATTAAAATATATAGTGGCACAAAGGAAAGTGCCACTAAAAGCTATAATGGCACAAAAGCAAAATGCCACTAAAACTTTGTGTCACTAAATATAATTTTATTTATAGTGTGTCGTTCGATGTTATACATCGGCTATCACCGGTTAGAGTGACCAAAATGAACAAAAATAAACAAGTTTAATGACCAATGATAGTTTAAAAAATATAATAACCAAAATGTAACTCCCAAAAAAATTCAATGACTAAAAATGATATAACCCCTAATATTTTTTTAATATATCTACCTTTACCTTTCTGATTAAGGTTTTTTTGTTATTTTTTTTGGATTTTGGTTCAGTTTCTATTTCTATGGAAACCTTATTAACGTTTGGTTTAATATAAAATCATTCGAGATATAGCACACCAAAAGATTTGAACTTTGTGAAAACACAACACTCGTTTTCACTAAACTTGACAAAAAAACGAATTCTTGTGTGTTTCCTCCATTCGACCCTCACTTATCTTCTACAACCTTCGCCTTTCTCTTCTCCATGTAGAAAAACCCAACCAACGAAACAATCGAAAATGCAGAAAAACAAATCGATGCAACATCAATCGACACATGGCGACCCGTGATGGCTTCAACATGAAACAAGTCAGTAACTTTGGTTGCATCCGTGTTTTGACCATAGGCTACCTGGACTTGTTGACTATCAAGCGCATATGCCCTCACAAAGAACGTAGCTGAAGGGACATCTCTTTCAATTCTCCAAGTGAATGAATTATTTGAAGGGGTATAAGGCTTTTCAACGATCTTGTGTTGACATGTTTTGTCCTTGTTTAGGTCGTCAACTGTTTTGCGCCATGGTCGGTTTTTCTGGCTAACTGGTGCATAGCATAGCTTCAGTTTGATGGTCTTGTAGGTCGAATCTGTGCCCCTTGGGAATGTTTCGTTGAATGCCCATGTGATTGTGAGTTCATCCTCCCCGGCTGTTAGAACTGCAAGATTTGGGGAACAAGCTGAGACTCCAAGTATGTGTGTGTGTGTGTCTGTGTCTGTGTGTCTGAGAGAGAGAGAGAGAGAGAGAGAGAGAGAGAGAGAGAGAGAGAGAGAGAGAGAGAGAGAGAGAGAGAGAGAGAGAGAGAGAGAGAGAGAGAGAGAGAGAGAGAGAGAGAGAGAGAGAACCATGGCCTTTTGGGGAAGAAGCTGAGAGTACAAGAGTCTTGTGAAGGGAAGAGAAGGCGACACCATAGCTGCTTGCTACAAAACTGGAAAAGATAAGATAACCAATAACACAACCAGCAGGAAACTCCATGAAAATTGACTTCTTCAAATCTTGAAGCTCAACGTCAAACAACTATGGTGGTTAATCATAATACACAAGAGTTCAAGCCATTCGCTTTATATATATCACATGCAAGCATATACTAGTATTCTATTCGACAAGGACAAATAAAACTGTCAAGATTTTAGTTTTAAAATACCTACTTTAATCGAACAATGTGTCAAACTAGATGTAAAAGAGAGGTGATTTTTATTTAAAACTTGAAAATGTCATTTTAAAAAGTTACCAAGGGTAAAGAGGTCAAGTTTAGTATGAACTATGGAGTGGATTGGTGTGCATAATACAATTTTATTTTTCTTTATTAATTATTAATATTAATATTATAAAATTTTATATATTAAATATGATTAAAAAAAAGACAAATTAGATGTAAAAGGAAAGTATTTATAGTCGATATTTATCTTAAGGAACACACTTCGTAATAGGATGAGGTGCTGATGAGTCCGGCTTCCACGTAAGCACCACCACAAGGTGGCGCGGTTGCCGTCGTCATGGATGGCCATCGTCGTGGTTGATGATGACGTGGCCGGAGACCATGCCTTTTTTTCCGGCTTAACGACTCCGGATAGCCTTATTTGGTAACATGATTAATTATTTGAGTATAAACTTATACATTATTCATTACTATATAACTATGTTCGCTAGATAGAAAGACCAAAAAACACATTCTTTGTACGTAGTTCGTAATCATTTAAATGCTTTTTTTAACCTGTTAAAAATTTAAAAACTGGCCCAAAACAATCCAATTTAAATAAGTTAATCAAAATGGTTTCCTCTGCTTTTAACCTGAAAACCTATAAAGCTATTTTAATTTTGAAATAAAAACAACTTAACCATGTGGAAAACCCATTTACTGTTCTTACAAAGAAGAATATCTTGGATAATCTTTTGGGAAGGTTTGAGAGAGTCAAGATAGAAGAAGTCGAAATTGGCCAATTATGTAAGATGGCTCTTAAGCATGCTCAAGAGGTCAATTATTCTGTCAGTTTAAGCTTCTTGTGTTTGGAAGTTAGTTTCTTTGTGTTAAAATTAAGTTTTCATGAATTTTGGATGATTCGGAAAGCTTTGGAAAGGGCAAAAATAGAAACAAAAAAACGGGGTCTCGAGAACCAACGTAAAGAGGATCATCATTGTCAGATTAGAGTACACGTCATTTTATTGCCGTCCAACAGATGTACATAAAGTATAAGATATACCATCATTTTCAAACGTAAGAGAAACGAAAGAACTATTGTTATGTATAGAAAACACCTAATCTTTTCATATATAGAAAAGGGGAACATAGGATACTGGACGCACGCCACTTCGTATACTAAATAGAATTATGATATCGATGAAACCGAAACATTTTTTAGATTTATCATTTATGTATGCTTTGGGAAGAGTTACAAAAGAAGTTTCGAACTTGTAATATCATGGAGTTCAAAATTGGAAGTAAATCTGTTCAACTAAACATCTATTCTTCAACTTGTAATCCATGGTACGTAGGTTGATAAAATTATTTGAAAGTTTCTTATCGTGAACATTTTAGTTGTTGAGGGACTAAATTGGTAGCTAGTAGAAGTTTAGCATTAATTGTCTAAAACAAAAACTAAAACCGGGGTATGAAAGAATATAATTAAAAACTCTTATAAAATATGATGAAATAACAAGATAAATTATAGAGTAAAGAAATATATGAGAGTGAAGAGAACTTTTATTCTAATACTTGTGATAGGGAGTAATGAAAGAAATGGGGAAGTCATTCAAAACTAATATTTCATAACACTCCTCCTTGAATGACAATAGTATCGTGCCTCGTTAAAACTTTAATAGATAAAACCACATGGGAAAAACATTTTATTAAGGAAAAAAAGTACATGATTAATAATAGATATTGGGAACATTTGTCTAATTAAAAACCTTTTTAAGAAAACTCAGTGGGAAAAACATAACTAAGGAAAAGAGTACAATATGTGTCAAACTCCCCATGATATATAAGCTCTCAAACTTTTCCAAACACTTCATGTCAAACACGCTCATAATCTAATGTCTTATTAAGTTTTCATTATTAAAAACAATTGTCACTTTAAATATAATTACCATATATATTCCAAATTTATGAAACCACAATTATCAATATCATGGAAGATTATCCTTATTTTGGAAATTCAAGTTTTTTAATTATGAACACATTTATTCATTAGTAAACGGTTAATTGGTTAACCGGATAATCGAATCGAAAAAATAAGTTAACCGAAAACCGGTTAACCGATTATTTTGGTTTAAGTTTAGGTTCTGATATATGTTTAGACGTGGATAGTCCAATTAAAAATGGATTACTTGGCAAGGAGGTGGGCTTTAATAATTTGGGCTTTGGAGTGTGCTTAATTTCTTGGATTTGGACTTGAAATGGGGTGGGCCGATTTGTTTTTGGCTACATGGGAGTTGTTACCACTTTTTTTAGACTTGTTGGTGATCATGGAAGAAATCTGAACCATTTCCTAGTCTTGTATGTAGCATGACCGAAAATTGAAGAGTTCTTGGGAGTTTCTAGTAGTTATTAAAATAGTTAATGAACTAGTTAAATAAAAGCTCTTAATGATGAGCCTTTTCACTTTTGTAACTGATGGTTCCTATCAACTATATATAGGGCCGATTTTCCATGAATAAAACAAGACTTGAAGCTTGTTGCACTTTGCTCTCTTATTCACATAAGATAGGTCTCTTATTGTGTTTTCTTGTCTGTCAATATGTCTTGGCATTCAACCTAGTTCTTTCTTCATGTCACACCCCCAAACCAGAACGGCGGAAATGTCTGGGGGCGGGTGACTTCATGTCAAGTATCACAACACATGCATTATAGTAATCAAAGTACAACAACCATTGCATTAATATTGTATAAGTTTTTACATAAGTGTTCAAACATTAGATATTTGACATCAAAAGTATGTACAGTAAAAGACAAAACACGTAACATGGTACTAGGCTGTCTTCTCAAAAGCTCTAGGAGTGTACCTGTCTACTGGATCCCCTGAGAATACAAGTTATTTTGAAAGAGATGATCAACATTTAAGTTGGTGAGTTCATAAACATTAGTTTCATTTATGGTTGCTTTAGTTTTAAGAAAGTGATTGATTATGTTCCAGAAAATCCTATATTTTCTGCTTTACAACTGAAAAGTAGTTTTAATCCCATAAAACCGTTCCGTTTAAGTGTTATTGTACTTATAGCATAGTATGGCATAATTTTAACTCACCATAAAATTATAAGAAGAATGTTTTCTGTTTTGTTTGTGGAAAATGATTTATGCTGTAGTATTTCTTCAAAATACACTACTGGTGTAATAACTACCCTATTATTAAACTGATTAATTAGGGTTAAAATGTGATGTGGTTATAACCATAATGATTGACTAGTATAAACACGACGACCTTCTGGCGTCGAAACTGATGAGACATTTGTCACCCGTATACCGACAGGTCCCACCAGGCCCGGCCCAAGGGCAGGGCGAGCAGGGCCAAGGCCCAGGGCAGCAATGGACATGAGGGCATCAGATTTTGTTGTAGTCTTATGGGTAGACATCTTATTTGGGCTAAAAAAATATGATGAGTTAACTAGGGCATGGGGTTCTGAGAATGCAGCGGGAAAAAAAGCACGCCTCAATATTTCAATATTTTGATAAATGTACATCGCACGTCTCATTCGAAGATTTGGTGAGAGCTGAAGAAGACGAGGAGACGTGGAACCATATTAAATAACAACGAAAAGGACAGATGGGGCAGCTTGGAAGACGAGGATCCAGTTGATAATCATGGCATGAGAGTTAAGAGGGTAGCAATGACCTTACACGATGAGAGAATGACTCGTTGAAGATGGATGCACACAAAATCCCTACCGATATCGGTCAATCCAATCAATCAGAATTGGTAACTTCTTGATTTTTTAAATGGAAGTGTATAAATTAGCCCCTGTATGATTCTATCTATCAGTTTCTTAATTCTCATTCACTAGTCAATACTTTTTTTTTCATTTCGAATTCTCAATATCCATATTGATTTTCACCATATTGATCTGTAAATTAGAATCAATTTCTGTTAATATCTAAATGTGGGCAATTTATGGTGATTACTAAAGTCTAAATCACGAAATTGCTAATTTGTTTCTCAGTTTGACTAATTTCATAATTTTAGTAGTTGCTAAATATTTCTTTATTTAGTTTAAAAAGCAGAATCTAAAACTATTGATAAATTAATCTTGTTTAGTTTGGAATTGCTAATTTGATTTTAATTACAGGTTCTTAGAGTTAACTGAGAAATTTTGTTTTGAAATATTTATTATGTTTTCTTCATTTGAATCTTATAGTCAAAAGAGATGGATTTATATGTTTGCTATCATTAAGTCATCAATGGATGATAAACATTGGATTGTTGATCAATGCATAATACAAAAAAACTTTTCTGTTTTTTATTGTATATAAGGTTTATATGTTATTTCATGTTCTTGCTTCAAATTCGTGATTGTTAGTTTGGTGGTGTATACTATTTTTTTTTCATTCCATTTTTGAAGTGGTTGAAGTTGGCTACTAATTATTGTTTTGTTTAGGATTACTTGGGATCGGTTGTATTTTGTTATTCTCTATGTCTTAGATGTGTTTGTTTTTTATATAATGTAGTTGATGATTTAGCTTATCTTCTAGGTTTTTGTTGGTTATATTATATTGTAATATAATCAAAAACTTTGTATCAGCTAATTTTACATAGTAATTTTTTATTGTTCATTAAATTAAAGTTTACAGCTCAGAAAAAAAGGAAGAATTTAATTATTTTCCAAGAATTAAAGATTTACTAGATTGTTGTATTTGATTATAGTTTGATGAGTGTTAAATTTTAGGTGCTATCTACAAGCTTTAGTTTTATATGTATATATGGATAAGAAGGTTTTAAAAAAATGTATTATACTTTAATATTATAAAAATGATGTTGTATATA